TATATAGTAAAAGAACAAAAAAATATAAAAAAAATCAGTTTTCTTCATAAATTTTTACTTTATATATGAAAAAAAATAATTTTTTTAATTTTGCAAAGAATTATTTGACAAATTGTATGTAAAAAAAAACTTTTTTTAATTTTGATTTTTGGAAATTATAAGAAAATTAAATATGTTTCTTTAGCTGTACGAGTTTCACTTGGAGCTTCTGTATATATATGCAAAGAAAATTAAATCCACTAGGTTTACTATATCGGATAAACTGCTGAAGTACTATTAGTCGAATTCTGTACATTTAAATTGTAAACTTGCTAGAAACACAGTTATTCCTTGACGTCGTATGTACAACTTTCAGCGTTGCCATATCGTATAATTATATGTTTGGCCATAAATAAATTGTTGTTTGCTCTAGTATAGTTTTTCTCGTCTACTTTCCCTCACTAATTCAGTTCCTTACTAGCATTATCTGCCAGCAACCATCATCAACTCCCTACTGGCAACATAATATCCCAGTATCGATTCCTGTTCCCTTGTTGGCCATACAACAACGTAAGCCGAACGTTATAGTACTACAATGCAATGCAACCTAAAGCTAAGCAGTGTTGTGTATTCTTCCTGACTACGTCTAGCCTAAACAAGCTATAAGCGAGCAAGTCTATCGACAAACAACAAATAAACAAACCTAAACGCACACATACACACACGTGAGTGTAGCCAAGGTGCTGCAGTGCATCGAATTCTGAACATAGCCAAACCGTGTCGATACGACACGTCGTCCATCGACTAGCTAAAATATCTCGTCTCCCAGTCGAAATAAAACAAAATCAAATTCAAAACAACAACATCGCCACTACCCTGTGTGGCGATGATTTCTAATCATCATCGGTGTCGTCCGTCGTCTTCGTTGTTGGCAAGCATGTAGAAGAAGCATCGCAACAAATAACAACATCACACAACCAACCAACCAACATGCAGGCAAGGCAGGCAGGCGATGACGACCAACCATGCTTGACATTTATTTCTTTACTCTCAACAGCAGCCTGCTTCATCTTGCATTGTGTCGCCTTTGTTTTGTTGTTGTGACAACAACGACGATAACTCACTCTGCTTGACCAAAAAACGAAGAAATCCGAAGTAGGTATTTATTGTGTGTATATATTTTTCTAATTTCTAAACACCAACAGCCAGGCAGGCAGGCAGCCACCACCAACCAACAAATCGTAAAAACACACAACAACTCAAGCAAGGAAGAGAGGAGAGAGACCACCACAAAATACTATAACAGTACGCTCTTTTGTTGGCGCAATACCAAACAATAACTGGATAAGTAGATGTTTGATTACTTTTCCATTAAACGAACGAACCGGCGTACGTTGCTCAATGAACGAACGACGATGATACAATAAAACAGCCGTTTTCTTAGACCGCATTTACACGAGGGCATTTCATACAATTCATACAATTTAGCTGGCGTTTGGCAAACACAAGGCCACTGGGTTCATTTGAAGAGGTTTTTATATCGTCGGCCATATTGCTAGATAGGTCGAAACGTGCCTCATCGAAATAACGGTCTCTTTGGACCAAATCCGTTTCAGGACATTTGGAGTCGATCTGTCTGGCTGGTGCGCACGATAACTCTCGAAGGGAATATCCGATTTGATTCAAACTAGAGACATCGAAATATTATTATCAAACATAGATTGAGGTAAGAGATGGGCAAAATCGGTCCACTCCTTTTGGTACCTCCAACACAAAATGTTAAAATTTTCAACGAAAATAATGTACTGCACAGACAGAGAAGGGATAATCCAATTTTGCTCCAACTTGCAAATCCTAATATTTGCATCTGTGCTAGGTCATGTGAGAAAATCGACAATATCGGTCCAGCCCATGAAGTACCTCCCTCTCAAAGGCTCAAAATTTTGAATATATAGAACAGTGATTAAAATCCGAAATGAGCATCTGATTGTCTTCAAATTACACACATCACAATATTTTTATTAAACCATTGTCTGGTGTAAAGATGTAATATATCGGCCCACTCCTTCTGGTAACTTCCCACAAATTTTGTCAAAATTTTGAATATCCATAAAGCTCATACAATGCGAAAAAAATATTCGATTACATTCAGACTTGGCACATCTCAATATTTACATCAAAACAAGATGTGTTAGAAAGGAGGTAGAGATCGGAGATTCTTTCTGGTATTTCCCCCACAAAGGGTCAAAATTTTGATAACCAAAACGATCAGAAAACACGAAATAGGCATCCGATTCTCTTCAGATGTGTGTAATCTCAATATTTTTATTATCCCAAGGTCTGGTGTGAAGATGGAATATATCAGTCCACTCCTTGTGGTACTTCCTCCACAAGGGGCCAATATTTTGAATATACATGAAGCTCATAAAATGCGAAGTTAACATCCGGTTTCATTTAGACTTACTACATCGCAATATTTTCATCAACACAAGATCTGTTATAAAGATGGTAGAGAACGGATCATTTCTTTCGATACCTCCCCCACAAAGGGTCATTTTGGAAATCAATGAATCTCATAAAACACGAAATTAACATCCGTCTGCCTGTTGAAATTACGATACATCCCATATTATTTGACGTAGAGCTTCAAAATTTGACAGAACAATTTGTATTGTGTCTAGGGTTGTTGGTATTAAAATGAGATATATCGGTCCACGTTTTGGTACAGCCGCCATTTTCGCCACATTTTTCACAGATTTGTCTAAAAATTGGTAATTGTAGATCATACCGGAACAGAAAGAAAATAGACTCAAAAGAGCTAAAGATTTGCTGCGCTTGGCCGAAAGTGGTGAACCGCCGAATTTGGTTTTCTCCGATGAGAAAACATTCGTTGTCCAGCAGTTTGTAAACAAACAAAATGATCGTGTTTACCTGCCAAAGAGGTCAGCTGAAAATGTGCACCTTCGGTTGGCCACCCGAATTCAAGCGCCGGTCATGGTGATGCTCTCCGCTCGTATTAATCGGCCGTGGCATCAGAATAAATGCCGAATATTATCGCGACGATATTCTGGAGGATGTATTAAAGCCTTGGCTACGCAAACATTTTAGCTGCAGACCTTGGACATTCCAACAGGACTCAGAACACGCCACCCAATAATGGCAAGGTTGGCACTAAAAAATACCAAAGTGTCGATCACCTCAAGCAAGCGCTTCGCCGGGAATGGGCCAAAATACCGCAGAGCAATATTCGGGCAGCGTGTGACGGTTTCATTGGCCGTTTGAAGGCCATAATTCGTGCCAAAGGTGACAAATTCGAACAAATCTTAACATATTCTAAAATTTAGTACATATTCTAAAATTTAGTGCTATTTCCGAAATTTTTTATCCTGTATACGGAAGCTATGTATATCTGAACAGATTTTATCCAAATTTGATGTATTTGCTTCTAGACCGAATTCGGTCGGATGTACAAAAATTCATTTCATTTGGACTGATGGCCATTTGGCCATTTGGTGCACAATTAACCCGAAATCGGTTGAAGATATATGTGGGAGCTATATCCAAATCTGAACCGATCTTGATACAATTCGGCAGAGGTGTTTCTGGGCAGATATCTGGTACCAAATATGATTCTTGTGGGGTGAGGGACGAATGTGAGGGACTTAAAACCCCGAATCGGACGAAACATATATATGGGAGCTATATCTGAACCGATTTTCACCAAATTTAATGTACTTGCTTCTAGACTGCATTCAGTCGGATGTGCCGAAATTCAGATCATTTGGCCTGATATTGGTCATTTGGTGTACAATAAACACGAAATCGGTTGAACATATATGTGGGAGCTATATCCAAATCTAAACCGATCTTGACACAACTTGGCACAGGTGTTTCTGGGCTGTATCCGATATATGGTACCAAATATCATACTTATGGGGTGTATATTACAAATGTGAGGGACTTAAAACCCTAAATCGGTTAAACATATATATGGGAGCTGTAGCTATATCTCGACCGATTTTCACCAAATTTGAAGTACTTGCTTCAAGACTGAATTCCGTCGGATGTACCAAAATTCAGGTTATTTGGATTGATACTGGCCATTTAGTACACAATTAACCTGAAACCGGTTGAAGATATATATGGGAGCTATATCCAAATTTGAACTGATGCTCACCAATATCAATAGGATACGTGCTTGGGCCAAAAAATATTGTTTGGAAAATTTTATCTCAATCGGATAATGCGACCTTCATTTTGTTTACAAAAATACATGGACAGATGGACGGATGGACTGATATGCAAAAAAAAAAAAAAAAACGACTCAGAAACTGATTCTATGAAGATCCTCAAAAGTAAATATGGGTCTATCTCGCTTCCTTCTCCATGTTACAAACAAATGCACAGAGACAAAATACCCTTACCCTCCATATAACGTTAGCTGGGTACTTCGAAAAATTTAATTGAATATTTTGTGTTAAACCCAATTTGAGAATTTTTTTTAATGGAACTCTAGTGGCCGAAATATCTACATATTTGATGCTATATTTCCTTTTAATATAAAATATTGTTAACCCGATTGGTAATACATATTTTTGCTGGTTTAAGTAAAAAACATAAATTTTTGATCATCAGTTTCCAACCCTGCATTGAAATTTGCAAATAAACTGCAAAAATAAAATTCATTTGACGCATTAAAGCATCGCTCCAGTGTAAATACCCACTTTGTTTATTGTATTCTCATTATGCACGAAGAGAGAGAAAGAGCGACTGAGAGCAAAACACCCAACAACTACCACTAAAAACAGTTGAGCAAGCAACAAAGCCAATTCATGGCATGTCATGTCAACGTCAATCCAACCAACATGATACAAATGGAAATTAACTGTGTATTGTCTGTCCGCCTGACTCGCAATTACACCTACTGTACATACAGCGCTGGCATGCATGCATGTACACACTCATACACGCACAGCACACACACACAGCATACAAAAACAAAATAAATGACTTTCACTTACGCTCTTCGGATTTAACAACATTTCCATTGTGGTTTCTTCCCTCGGCTCCAACTCCATATCGTTCTCATCTCTCTTCTTTCTGTATAGCTTATAGCACTGATGTCGCAACAGATTCGATGTGCACTGCGTGCTGCGCTTGTAAACGTTTTTGCATTTCGAACAAATGACAGCGTCTTTTATGAGGGCACCCTTTTCGTCTTCGATATCGAAGAAAACATTGTAAACTTCACTTCTTGAGAATCGTCGCACGGTCGAATATTCTCCACTTCTTATTTTTTCTTTGATAACATTGTAATATTCCATTTTGGCTGATAGCGTTAGAGTCACCCGACCTGACTGACGACCGACCGATGACAATGTCTACTCTACCTTCACGACACAACTACACACACTGAATGGACATTCAGAAATTTAATTGTATTGAATAGCATGATGTCGTCAGTCACTCAATCGAATCGAATCATACATGTTGCATGGTGTCATCCATTTTGTGTGAATTTGAGTGAATTGTCGTCCACACGAGGCCGCATTGAACATGTCGTATTCAAACATCATGCAATGCTTGGTACGATTCATACACAAGACTAACGCTGCTGCAGTTGCAAGACTATGACGAGTTCGTTCAGACACACTAGCGAACAATACAACATGGTGTGACAATTGATAGAAGGCTTGCGTAAGGACTTGGTGTGATACACTCGAGAAAAAAATCAGTTGCATGAGGGGCTTTTAAAAAGGTTTGTTCTTATATTCAATTGTGTTTGGAGTTTGAAAGTAATTTTAAATCAAATTTTACTACGAACGAAAACTGGAATTGGAAATAATATTTCCAAATCAATGAAAAATTGGCATAGAAAAAAATATTTTTTAAGTTATTTTACAGTAGTTTTATTTGAATTGGTATTTTTAAAACTAGATAAAGGTATCAGTCGGTTTTGCCGACAGTTGCATACCCTCTTCCAATGTTCGAGTTTTTAAATATATTTTGACTTCTGTTATGATTATTCAAATTGTTGAACCTCTATGGAGTAGGTCCCGAAGGAGTGTGCCAATTCATACCGGACCTATATAAGTATGATATAAATATTGCAACGTGTCAGGACTATATCTATTACTCCTTCACTTTATATGATATATATGATAATTTTTAGAAAATTTTAAAATGTGCGTGAGGTTCCAGATATTGTCGACCGAAGTATTCCATTTTTATACTTCATCTAATATAGATAAAAATATTGGTATCTGCGAAATTACAAGAAAATCAAACATTTATATCCAATTTTATGCGAAATCATAATTTCCGATAATTTCCATTTTCATCTTTGGTTTTGGGTTAGGAGAAATATTTAGATATAGCAAGTTGTAAAGAATCGCTGACTTGTTTCACAAGTTATGACAGATAAAAGAATTGAAAATTGTGACCCTTTGTGGGTGAGGTACTAGAAGTGGTCCAAATCTTGTGTAAGCAAAAATGTTTGTGTGTGTGAAATTTGGAGAGAATTGTTAATTTGCTTTCTTTGAGTGTTTGGATATTCAAAATTTTGATCCTTTGTGGGGGAGGTACCAGAGGGAATGGTCCGATCTTTACAATCTTTATAACAGATCTTGTGTTTAGGGAAATATTGAGATATCCGAAGTCTGTATGAAATCGAATATAAATTTCGAGTTTTACGAGCTTCGTGGATATTCAAAATTTTTAACCCTTTTGTGGGGGTGCACCAGGGGTACCAGAAGGAGTGGGCCAATATATCCCATCTTCGCAGAAGATCTTTTATTAGTAGTATTATGTGTGAAATATGAACAGAGCCTGACGTTTATTTAGGATTTAAGGATCCTTTTGGTTATTCAAAACTTTGACCCTTTGTGGGGGAGGTACCATAGGGAATGGTTCGATCTCTACCATCTTTATAACAGATCTCGTGTTGGTAGAAATATTGAGATGTGCCAAGCCTGAAAGGACTCGGATGTTAATTTCGTGTTTTATGAGCTTCATAGATATTCAAAACTTTGACCCTTTGTGGGGGAGGTACCAGAAGGAATGGTCCGATCTCTACCATCTTTATAACAGATCTCGTGTTGATGGAAATATTGAGATATACCAAGTCTGAATTGAATTGGATGTTAATTTCGCGTTTTATGAGCATCATGTGTATTCAAAATGTTGACCTTTTATGGGGGAGGTACCAGGAGTAGTGGACCGGTATATCCCATCTTTACAGCAGATCTTGTGTTAGTTTTAAATAATGGGAAGTGTGCAATATGAAGAGAACCGTATGCTTATTTCGGATTTTAGATCCGTTTTGGTTATTCAAAACTTTTACCCTGTGTGGGGAGGTACCAGAAGAAATGGTCCGATCTCTACCAACTTTATTGATATAAATATTGAGACCTGCCAATTGTTAATTTCGCGTTTTATGAGTTTCATGGTTATTGGAAATGTTGACCCTGTTGTGGGGGAGGTAGCAGAAGGAGTGGACCGATATATTCCATCTTCACACCAGACCTTGGGTTCATAAAAATATTGGGATGTGTGTAATTTGAACAATCAAGACAAGACAACCCTTTTGGGTATTCAAAATTTTGACCCTTTGTGGGAAGGTAGTTGATGGAGAGGACTGATAACGTCCATTTTCGCTCCAGACCTAGCACTGATGCAAATATTAGGATTTGCAAGTTGGAGCAAAATCGAATTATCCTTTCTCTTTTATTTTATAGGAGTTATAATTGTTCAAAATTTTTACCCTTTGTACTTGATGAAGTGGACATAAATTGTCCATTTTCGCATCAGACCTAGCACTGATGTTAACATTTGGATTTACAAAGTTGGAGCAAAATCGAATTATCCTCTTTCCTTCTGTGGAGTAAAATATTTTTTGAAAATTTCAACATTTTGTGGGTGAGCTACCGGAAGGAGTGCATCGATATTTCCCATCTCCGGATTCGATCTAAGTTTGACAAAAATATTACGACGTACCAAGTTTGGACCAAATCGGATACTCCCTTCGAGAGATATCGTGCACACCAGCCAGACAGACGGACGGACGGACATCTCTAGATCGACTCCAAATGTTCTGAAACGAATTTGGTCCAAAGAGACCTAGGGTCTAAAATCGTTATTTCGACAAGGCACGTTTTGACCGTATCAAATGATATATACTCTCTGTAGCCATATGGCTGAGGGTATAAAAACGTGTAGCGAAAAGGTTTACTGCGAATTTGAAATAATTCTGTTAGGAGATGTCGCTTAAATCCTGAAAATCCGGAATATTGGGAGATTTTGGACGGACCTGAACCATTTTCCAATTTGACCTGCCTTCTGACAAAATACAGAAATGTGAATTTTTGTCTTCCATATCAATACATTCCAAAGATAGGCTCGTTACAATTGGCAGACGGAAAAACGCTGATCAAGAATGAAGATCTCTGTATACAAGGTAATAGGGAGTCACAATTGATATGACAACCATAATATAGCCCCCTATTATGGCGAAGACTATAAAAGGCCCATTTCACAAAACATTCTTCATTTTTGCTTCATTAAGGTGTCCATTTACGAAGAAGTCAGGCGATGACTTAAGTCTGTTATTCTCATGCTCAATTGTGTATGCATCTTGTACTATGATTTCTCATCGAGTGTATTTATGCTGACAACTCCGTTTCTAGTTTGCCTTTTATGTGGCTTGCTACCTATTTGCTAACATTGATAAATTGTTGTTGTGCCTTTACACACATTATGTATGTATGTTTGAACATAGAAACATTCATACATCGCAGTCATATGAAAATATTACTGTTCATACAAACTTCCTCTCTCTGTCTCTCGCTCTCTATAGTTTTTTAACCCATATTGCCGAACTCGAATACGGTGGATGAGATGAATGTTGGTTGGTTGTTTGCCATCGACTGACTGACTCTCTCTATGACATGGGAGTCTATGTCATCCATGATCCTTGTGGTGCTGAGCTCCTGTTACGAGACGTTGTTTAGGTTTGTTCGTACGTGCAAAGCAAGCAGCAGAGGTCGCTGTAACGAACAACTGTCATCATCGCTTTTATTGTTTCGTGGTTCTACTTGCAACAAACACAACTGCAGCCATTGTGCCAGGAATTTAGGTAGGAATTGTTGCGATGTATGACGGATGGATTGGATGGTCGGTCGATAGGTAATGGAGTTGGTGGTGAATAAAAAGAAGGATAAAGAAGAATTACTGCTAATGTCTTTACAGCCAGTAAGTAGTTTGGTTGGTGCTAGAAAGTATAATCGGAAATGACACAATACTAACATTTCAGTCGGATTGGTAAAAATTGACTACCCATACCAATATACTTAAGGGTGTCTCGAGTATGTCCTGAAGTCTACCTAACAACGACATTTACACATTTTTTGGCTCTTTATAAATGTTTTCTTTAACAAAGACCAATCCCAGTCTTTTGTCTCCATGTATTTGCCAAGGGATATTTATGGTCCAAAACGTTCTAAGTTCATGTGGTTTGTTTTGCCACCAGATTCAGTAAATTTTCTAAGCCCTCCACCATACTACCGTGTTCTTCCGTTAGTATCTCCTAAAAAGAAGCATTTTAGGCCCCACAAATTATACATGTACATTTATATACCATACTATGGTGGCATTCCGTTTGTAACTCCTCGAAATACTCATGTTAGACCCAAAGAAGTATATATATTCTTGATCAGAATAGCAATGTCCGTCTGTCTGTTGTAATCACGCTATTTTTCGGACGAGTTAACGTAGTAGGCTAAAATTTTGCACACATGTGTATTTCGCCAGTAGGCGGGTTAAGTTCGTAAATTTTCCAAGTCGGTCCACGTTTTCGTTTAGCCCCCATATAACGATACCTCCCGATATTCAGAATTTTGATGAGTTTAGCGACATAATTTACCGAAATTGTTTCAAATTTCGTATTTGAAGATCTGAATGGGTGCTACAACCTATGACATATTCAGGACAACGTCTTCTTATAACCTCTATGTAACGGTACCTCTCAATATTCGGTATTTTGATGATTTTAGCGACATTATTAACCAGAATTGTTTTAAATTTCGTATTTGATGTTCGGAATCGGTACTACAGCATATAACAAAAAAACTTGTGATCCCACCCATATATCGGTTTTCATTTAAGCGGAATTATTGGACGGATTGTTTTTTTTTTAATTTTTTAAGTTCCTTCCCAATGGTGGAGGGTATTAAAGGTTGGTCTGACCGAACTTAGTTGCTTTTTTATCGACCTTGGTAGGTAATACAACCCTCAGTCGAATCCTTGGGCATCCTAGAACGTCCTTGCGGAACCTGTAGACTTCCTAAAAGAATCCTGTTTAAGTCCTTCGACATGTTTTGAAAAAACAGTACGTTCTTTTATTATCCTTGAAGTCTGCCCGAATACTTATTAA